TTACTTGTGCACGGTCAGTCATAGCCACTCTTGCGGCCATGCTTGGCGGGGCAGAGGAAGCAAAGGTACAAGGCTGCCGAGGCAGCACTCAAGCCAGAAGCATAAAGAGCAAAGGGACAAGAAGGGCTTCCCCCGGCAAGAGCCTTGCCGGGACGGCCTACGTAGCCCCGGCAAGAGCATTGTCGGGGCAACTTGCCCAACACCAGCAAGACTGCCACCCTTGAGCCTGAGAGTTATGACGCCATTGACAATGTCAAGACCAAGGCTCGGGAGCGCCTGCATGGTGGCATGCAGATCTTAGTGAAGCCCGAAGGCCTGCAAGCCTACATGAGAACCAAAAGACGAAGACCCCTGGCAAGATCTTGCCGGGGACGACCATAGACCCTCGGCAAGACCCTTGCCGAGGAGGCTCGCAGGTCCCCGGCAAGACCCTTGTCGAGGACGCCCACAAGATCCCGACAAGGCCCTTACCGGGGGCGTCTGCAGGGCCGAGGCCAGGCCCGCACTTGCCAGAGTTTCACTACCCCGCGCCCGTTCCGATGTGTCGGCTAGCCCGCCAGCTAGGCGATCGCATGTGTGGCGGCATGCAGCTTCTAGGCCAACAAGCCAAGCACCTGCGTGGTGGCATGCAGATCTTCGCGAAGACCCTGCCACCGCACCAGCTCGGCAGCCAGCCAACGTGGCGCTGCAGGCCTCATCAGCTTGGACGCGCGTCAGAGCGAGGCGAGGCGGCGACGGACGGGACGAGCTTTTTTTCCATCCCCGATAAAGCAAGAGGGCACGTCGGCAGCGCATTAAATGTGTTTGTCCCATGGTGCCAAGCGATAGACTTGTACACTGTACATACTTTCACCTCCTGTGTGCCACTGTGGCAACCCCTTTGACATATAAAAGGAGGCCCGAGGCGTACTAAGGAAGGATTCGGAGTTTTTGGACTAGGCATGCACCACAGCTAGTTCAAGAGCTCAAGAACACTAAATACACAAAAAGCATGACTAGGGTTTTACGAATCGTTTGCGGCCCGAACCTGGGTAAAAATCCCCCCGCGTTGATCTTCTAGACCCGCTCTTTGCGCAGCCCCACGCCACGCGAACTGTAGAAGGGACTCCCCGAGGGATCCCATAGGTGTCGTTCCTGAACCCCTGACATCTTTGGCGCGCCAGGTAGGGGCGTTGAGGCTGTGAAAATCAGGTTTTGAAGTCAACTCATCGACTCCTTCGTCGCGATGGCTCCCAAGAAGAGGGCGATCACGGCGATCGGCTCGTCTGGGGCCGAACCACTCGTCCCAGCGCGGGCGGGCGACGGAGCGGGCACAGATGATGGCAGAGGCGTGGCCCGCGAGCATCCACGGTACTCTGGCAATCGGAGTCAGGCGAGTAGCGTCATGCGTGCCTGAGACGACGAGCCGCACGCCGCTGGGCCCAGGGGCGAGGCCGTGCTACCCACGGGCGGCGCGGCGACCTCCCGGATGCCCCAGCCAGCGCCCGCGTCGCGACCTTCCCAGGCCGCGCGTGACGAGCAACGCCGCGACGTCGGTGCCTCCGGACACCGCCGCGGGAAGAGCCCTTTGCGTCACTCTCAAGACGCATCGGGCTGCCATGCGCGCCCAGACGCTGGCAGAAACAGCGCGCGACAACGAGACCGTGATAGAGCTCCTTCTAACGTGGTTAGAAGTCGGGGCACGTCACGGTCCACGCATCTTTTGCGGCCACCCACGCCAGCTGAAGCGCTGGCGCGCGTGCAACTACTCCTCGACTTCCCTCCAGCTGCGAAGAAGCTCGACGACTGGAGGGCCACCATTCGAAGCCTCATAAGCTTCGCCAACAAAGATGAGCCGCGCCGCAGGTAGTTCAAGAGCTCAAGAACACTAAATGCACAAAAAGCAGGACTAGGGTTTCATGCATCATTTGCGGCCCGAACCTGGGTAAAAATCCCCCCGTGTTAATCTTCTAGACCTGCTCTTTGCACGGCCCCACGCCCCGCCAACCGTAGAAGGGACTCCCCAAGGGATCCCATAGGTGTCGTTCCTGAACCCCGACAGTACCAGATCGTCGTGCAAGCATTCCTGATTATTCAAATATTTTAAGAGTTTGCATGCCATAATTAGCAATGTCGTTGACCCCGACATTGTTTGCATGATCTATGGTCGCAACAATGGCCACAGTGGTGAGTTCTAGTACAATTTGTAAGTTTTGTGTGAATGTCTCCAAACTAGTTTTCTTTATGAATGTGAATATATTGTTTGCAATAAGAATTGTGTATACTTTGTATTACAATGGCTAAATATATTTATGTTGCATTTACTATATTCATATAGACATGTTAAATTATCATTGTGCTAAGAGTTATGAAAATATTGTGTTGCTATTGCTACGTGATAATGTCATTGTGCTAATAATTACATAAAGAACAATGTTCCAATTGCTATGTCTACCGCCATTGTGCTAAGAGTTAAAAAAGAATAATGTCCTAATTGCTATGTCATTGTGATATGTCTTCAAATATTTTTCCTATGAATGTGAAAATATTGTTTGCAATATGAATTGTGCTATACATCGTATTTGAATTACAAGTTGGAGTAACTAATAGTATTGGGTGGATAGCTTTGATAGATTAGTTGATCAATTATTGAGTTTTTACTTTTTATTTGTGCTTATCTGAGTATATTTTTCTCTTTCTTGATAGAGGACACTATTCACCTCGTTGCTTTTCTGACATTTTTGTGGAATGTACATCACTCTGTGCTTTACAAGTGTTTTGTACAGTGAGAAAGAAATGTCACGACAATGACATTTCACCTTTTCTGAGGCACTATACAAAAAGGTGGAGTCTTCATGTCATTAGTTGTTACAGTCGTACCAATTATTGACTCAAAATCTCATCAGCTAAGGGTCAGTAAGACATGGTATGATATTACGAACTAGCTCGCTCTACTTAATCAATATATATAATTTTTTTTCTATTCATATTTAAATTTAGCATCTTGCTTCATGGTTGAGAAGTTATCTGGCTATGAAATACATCATGCTTTATTTTTTTTATTTCTCCGGATATTAAAGTGGAACAAGGATCATCGATCAACAAGAAGGATGTATTCAATAGTGTGTTGCCTTGAAATCAACAAAGGATGCCCAATCTTGTAAGTGAAAATGTACCAATACAAAGATCATTATATGAAACTGTTTGTATGTGAGGATACCCAATGCAATGTATGTGTATGACATGAAATAAATTATATTCTTTTGTATATGTGCATATGTAATGGAATATTGGAAATATTTGTGTTTGATAATGCTATCTGTATTGTTGTGTAGCTTGGGGCTGCACTGCTAGTAGTTACTGGGCTACTAGCAGTGCAGCCCCAAGATGCCATCCAGAATATTTGCATCACTAACGAACACATGTCTAGAGCTAGTCAGTGGTAATCTACAACTTGTAGACAATAGGAGAGGTTACACTGACTGGCTAGTCCGTCTATGGTTATGTTTATCACTGACTGGTCAAGTTGCCCGTTTGTGAGCGGAAACGTGTATGTGATGATACTATTTAACCAGCCAATGCTATGAAGATCTATAATAGAGATTAGGCGACGAAGGCAGGAAGAGGTGGCGCCGCAGGTAGGAGTTGGGAGGGGGGAATTTTTTTTCCTGAGATGTGTGTGGCCGCTTAAAATGAGAAAGGGCAAGTTTTTGGGAGTTATCTTCTCAAAATTTGAGGAGTTTACCAGATAAGAGATCTGCTAGGTGTGGTTAACTCCTCAAAGCAGAATATTTTAAGGAGTTAACCATTTTTAAGGGATTGATTAAAGTTGTCGTAACCCCTCTTTTCTGGCACTCTCCCCTGATCTTGATCTGTTTTTCTTTGCCTCCACTTTTTCCATGCTCAATGATTCTTTGCTAGTTGTCGTCCGTGGTTCACCATCAGCACCTCATCATTTACATCCCCAACAGTGGTGGCGGCGGAAAGTTAACAGACATGGCACGGCAATGGTGGCCTATGTGACCTTGAGCAAAGTAGCGTCTCGACACATCAAGAAAGGCCATGGTGCCTAATCTTGATGGCAGGGGGTGGAGCAACATCTCGACGCGATGGTGACAACATCATGAGTGGGGGCGGAGCGGCTTCCCACCATGTCGACGACTATCATGTCACACGATGTGGCATCCACAAGTGTAGCCCTGGAGCGACCGCTCCTCTCCCTTTGTGGCCAGTCGAGAGATTGCTTGGTTCTTCGACCTCCTCGCATGGGAAGATGTAGAACCGGGCATATGTCAACCCAAAGGGATAAGAACCGATTCAGCAGGAAGTAATACTCATATTTTTGTGCTTGGTGTAGGACTTTGGACAAGGTGTATTTGTACGCATGTGCAGTGGTTGATAAAACAGTCTTATCTTAGGCATATGGGACGAAATCTAGAGAAGGCAATAAAGAGCAGTTTTAACATGGCCTCTCTTACCTGAATTTTGGGACAGTAATCCTCTGAATTTTCTCTTAGCTGAACTAGTTCGGGGATGTAACTATCATTTGACTTGAATAAAATGTGCCGCAACTACAAAGAAAAGTTGATTCCGTAGCGCGTGGAACAGGACAACAAGCGCGTGCGTGCGTTTTATAGATTTTCCGAACAAGAAACCCACAGAATCATAATTACAGGCCAGGCCCTGCTCAGGCTCCTTCCGTGGGCAAGGCACGTGGATGTCGATCCGGGAAGAGATCAAGAGATATCTTCCATCTGCAGTGACGCAGGCAGGAAGACCCGGAGAGAGCCCCATGCAGATGCAGCCTCAGGGTGACGCGGGTACAGCGGATGCGGCGGCGCCACGGCCCGACGCCATTGATGCGCTCGGACAAAGTCGACCGAGGAGCAAGGCGCGTCGTGCGCATATAGTGGAGTGAAACAGCGAAGGTACCTTGCTTTGATAAAAGCTACCCGGTGACATTAATTCGTCCGGTTAACCGTCCCATCCCGTCCTGCTCCCCCTCTACTTGTACCACTCCCATGCACTGCTTCCATTCCGTAGTTCCACTCCACCTGGTCGAGAGTCGAGACTCGAGAGCGAGTAGCCGAGACCCGTGGATTCTTTCACTCATGGACGCAAAGGCGGAGGCATCCGGCGACGACGCGGTCCCGGAGGCGCCGGAGCAGTCCGTCGTCCTCATCTCCGCCGGCGCCAACCACTCCGTCGCACTGCTCTGTAAGCCGCCACTCCTCTTGCTCTGCGCCGTCAAACCGCCGCCTTGCCTTAAGCTTCTCGTCGGTCTGATGATGGAGCGGGCCGTCGTTTTTCAGCGGGCCAGATGGTGTGCTCCTGGGGCCGGGGCGAGGACGGGCAGCTGGGCCACGGAGACTCCGAGGACCGGCCGGTGCCGACGGTACTGACCTCCTTCGACGTGCCACGCATTACGTCCGTCGTCTGCGGTGCCGATCACACCGCCGCCTACTCCGACGACGAGATGCAGCTCTACAGCTGGGGATGGTACGCCGCACGCCGCCCCCTCTTCCGGGATCTCTTCTACTTCTACAGTAGTTTCGTACTGTACTGCGTGACGAGGCTGCGATGGGTGTGCGGTGCTGCAGGGGAGACTTCGGGAGGCTGGGGCATGGCAACTCCAGCGATGTGTTCAACCCACAGCCGGTCGTGGCCCTGCAGGGGATGAAGATCAAGCAGATCGCCTGCGGTGACAGCCACTGCCTCGCCGTCACCGTCACCGGACAAGTGCATAGGTAGGTGTAGGTTCCCTCAAACCTTAATAAGTGGAGTGGTATTATCCTCGAACGCAATAAAGTTCCATCCATGCATCGGTAGCTAGGTAGGTTGACATGCAGTATTGTGCCATGTATTGATGTGTTTCAGCTACTGCCTTGTGCTGCTGCTTAATTTGTTTCAGCTGGGGGCGCAATCAGAACGGCCAACTTGGTCTCGGAAACAATGAAGACTCGCTGCTCCCGCAAAAGATCAAGGCTTTTCAGGCAAGTACTCCCACTGTTTCATAATTCTTGTCATGATTTTAGTTAAAAAATACAAATGAAAGACCTATGTTGGCTGTTGTGTACTTTCTTTTTTGACATGACTGCTGTTGGGTACTTAGAGCAGGTAGCAAAGAACAAGTCTGTGAAGCCTGTGGAGTGTTTGTTTATTGAGTCCCGCTTTCGGTACAACCCCTTCATTAATAAACCTGTAAAGAACAATATGAACCTTTCACAACGTATACGCCATGCGGAGACAATTTTTTTTTTAGAAACTCCATACGGAGACACCATGTACGAGGCTCTTCAGTTCTCGTGCGCTTGGGCCAGCCCATTAAGTCACATCCATCCGTTTTATATAGAAAAAATACTATGAAGAGGGGGGGGGGTGTTATGTACAAAAAATAATGCAAAAAGGGGACATCACGAGGACTCAAACTCAGGACTTCGCACTATTGGAGCAAACTGCTTGCCACTCAACCCAGCAACTGCTTGTGTTTTGATATAGCGCGAATTTTATAGGAACACACAATAGTGTTCATATACAAAAACATGTCTGAAAAAATTGAAACTTTTATTGAAAAAAAGAAGAACAATTTGGAAATGTCAAATATTTTTTTGGTAAAAAACAAATAATTTATGAAACTCCAAACTTTCTTGAAATTATAAACAATTTCCGAAATTACAAAATATTTCTCAAAAAATGTGAAGTAATTTTGGGATGAGCATTTTTTAAAAATATTAAAAAATTAATAATCCTAAACGGTTAATAAAAATTCAAACAAATTTGATAATTACAAACATTTTTAAAAACACGAAAAAAGTATTAAAAACATGAACATTTTTATAAACTCTGACACAAATTTGAAAAGGCAAACCTTTTTGGGTATGTGAAGAATTTTTTTAAGCGGAAATATTTTTTGAAATCCCAATTTTTTTTAAATTTGTGCACAAAAGTTGAACATAAGAATGATTTTTGAACTTCTGATTTTTATTGAAAAGCGCAGACATTTGTTATATTCCCAAACTTTTTTGAAATATGAACAAAATTTGAAAACATGAACAAGTTTTTGAAATTTCAATAAAAAAATTATAACATGAACAATTTTTGAATTTCCAAACATTTTTCAAAACGGTGAACAATTTTTTCAAAATGCAAATAGTTTTACAAATTCCCAACATGCGCGGGACGGGAGTGATACTATCACCTAGTTGGGCCAAGGCCTAAGCGTTTGAATTTTTCTATATTTTTGTTATTCTTCTCTCCTTTCGTTAACTCATTTTCTCCATTTAAACTTTATTCTTCTTTTTTGAAACCAGTTATATTGTTTGGACCACCAAAATAACAGTTTTAAGGAAATGTTTCAAATTATAGTTTAAAATTATGATTGTTGTCAAACATTTATTAAATGCTTTTATTTACTGCTTTCAATTTTATCCTTTTGTATTTATTAGTTATGTTAAAAACTTAAAATAACAGTTATAAGTGCATGTTTAAATTATGATTTTAAATACTTTTTCCCTACAAACCTGGTATGTTGCCTACCATTAGCATGCTCACCCATTGGCAAAAGTTGTGATCATTTCAAGAATGTCCCAAAAAAAACACCATGCTCGATGTAGGGTGTCCGGGCAGGGCAGAATGCTCTGTTTGAGAGCAACATATGCAAATGACCTCATTTTTTTACATTACCTTGTATGACCAATTCATGGCACCTGTTGGGGAACGTAGCAGAAATTCAAAATTTTCCTACGTGTCACCAAGATCTATCTATGGAGAAACCAGCAACGAGGGGAAGGAGAGTGCATCTACATACCCTTGTAGATCGTTAAGCGGAAGCGTTCAAGAGAACGGGGTTGAAGGAGTCGTACTCGTCGTGATTCAAATCACCGGAGATCCTAGTGCCGAACGGACGGCACCTCCGCGTTCAACACACGTACAGCCCGGCGACGTCTCCCACGCCTTGATCCAGCAAGGAGAGAGGGAGAGGTTGAGGAAGACTCCGTCCAGCAGCAGCACAACGACGTGGTGGTGGTGGAGGAGCGTGGCAATCCAGCAGGGCTTCGCCAAGCACCACGGGAGAGGAGGAGTAGGGAGAGAGGTAGGGCTGCACCAAGAGGGAGAGGTTCTCATCGGTTTAGCAGCCCCAAACCTCAACTATATATAGGGGGAAGGGGGGGCTGCGCCCCCTTTAGGGTTTCCCACCCCAAGGGGTGCGGCCAAGGGGGGAGGAGTGCCTCCTAAGTCAAGTGGAGGCCTCCCATCTTTAGGGTTTCCCCTTTCCCATGCGCATGGGCCTTGGGGGGCTGGTTCCCTTGGCCCATAAAGGCTAGGGCGCCCCCTTACAGCCCATGCTACTGTATTGGACGTGGTGGAACAATTTCCGGACCTTCGGACCCCTCCGGAATCCTCCGGAACCTTCTGGAAGCTTCCCGGTACAATACCGAAAAAACCCGAACTTTTTCCGGAACCCGAACAACAACTTTCCATATATAAATCTTTACCTCCGGACCATTCCGGAACTCCTCGTGACGTTCGGGATCTCATCCGGGACTCCAAACAACATTCGGTAACCACATACAAACTTCCTTTATAACCCTAGCGTCATCGAACCTTAAGTGTGTAGACCCTACGGGTTCGGGAGACATGCAGACATGACCGAGACGTTCTCCGGTCAATAACCAACAGCGGGATCTGGATACCCATGTTGGCTCCCACATGTTCCACGATGATCTCATCGGATGAACCACGATGTCAAGGACTCAATCGATCCCGTATACAATTCCCTTTGTCTAGCGGTATTGTACTTGCCCCAGATTCGATCGTCGGTATACCGATACCTTGTTCAATCTCGTTATCGGCAAGTCTCTTTACTCGTTCCGTAACACATCATCCCGTGATCAACCCCTTGGTCACATTGTGCACATTATGATGATGTCCTACCGAGTGGGCCCAGAGATACCTCTCTGTTTACACGGAGTGACAAATCCCAGTCTCGATTCGTGCCAACCCAACAGACACTTTCGGAGATACTTGTAATGCACCTTTATAGCCACCCAGTTACGTTGTGACGTTTGGTACACCCAAAGCATTCCTACGGTATCCGGGAGTTGCACAATCTCATGGTCTAAGGAAATGATACTTGACATTAGAAAAGCTTTAGCATACGAACTACGATCTTTGTGCTAGGCTTAGGATTAGGTCTTGTCCATCACATCTTCTCCTAATGATGTGATCCCGTTATCAATGACATCCAATGTCCATAGCCAGGAAACCATGACTATCTGTTGATCACAACGAGCTAGTCAACTAGAGGCTCACTAGGGACATATTGTGGTCTATGTATTCACACGTGTATTACGATTTCCGGAGAATACAGTTATAGCATGAATAAAAGACTATTATCATGAACAAAGAAATATAATAATAACACTTTTATTATTGCCTCTAGGGCATATTTCCAATAGTCTCCCACTTGCACTAGAGTCAATAATCTAGTTCACATCACCATGTGATTAACACTGACAGGTCACATCACCATGTGACCAACATCCAAAGAGTTTACTAGTGTCATTAAACTAGTTCACATCATCATGTGATTAAGACTCAATGAGTTCTGGGGTTTGATCATGTTCTGCTTGTGAGAGAGGTTTTAGTCAACGGGTCTGAACCTTTCAGATCCGTGTGTGCTTTACAAATCTCTATGTCATCTCCTAGATGTAGCTACCACGTTCTATTTGGAGCCATTCCAAATAACTGTTCCACTTGAAGCTATTCTAAATTGTTGCTCCATTATACGTATCCGGTATCTCTACTCAGAGCTATCCGGATAGGTGTCAAGCTTGCATCGACGTAACCCTTTACGACGAACTCTTTTACCACCTCCATAATCGAGAAAATTCCTTAGTCCACTAGTTACTAAGGATAACTTTGACCGCTGTCCTGTGATCCATTCTTGGATCACTCTTGTACCCCTTGACTGACTCATGGCAAGGCACACCTCAGGTGCGGTACTCAGCATGGCATACTGTAGAGCCTATGTCTTAAGCATAGGGGACGACCTTCGTCCTTTCTCTCTATTCTGCCGTGGTCGAGCTTTAAGTCTTAACTTCATATCTTACAACTCAGGCAAGAACTCCTTCTTTGACTGATCCATCTTGAACACCTTCAAGATCATGTCAAGGTATGTGCTCATTTGAAAAGTACCATTAAGCGTTTTTGATCTATCCTTATAGATCTTGATGCTCAATGTTCAAGTAGCTTAATCCAGGCTTTCCATTGAAAAACACTTTCAGATAACCCTATATGCTTTTCAGAAATTCTACATCATTTCTGATCAACAATATGTCAACAACATATACTCATCAGAAATTCTATAGTGCTCCCACTCACTTCTTTGGAAATACAAGTTTCTCATAAACTTTGTATAAACCCAAAATCTTTGATCATCTTATCAAAGCACACATTCCAACTCCGAGATGCTTACTCCAGTCCTTAGAAGGATCGCTGGAGCCAGCATACCTTTTAGCATCCTTAGGATCGACAAAACTTTTCTGATTGTATCACATACAACCTTTCCTTACGAAAACTGGTAAGGAAACTCGTCTTGACATCCATCTGCCAGATTTCATAAATGCAGCTAATGCTAACATGATTCCGACGGACTTAAGCATCGCTACGAATGAGAAAATCTCATCGTAGTCAACTCCTTGAACTTGTGAAAAACTCTTCGCCACAAGTCGAGCTTCATAGACGGTGACATTACCGTCCACGTCCGTCTTCTTCTTAAAGATCCATTTATTTCAATGGCTTGCTGATCATCGGGCAAGTCCACCAGAGTCCATGCTTTGTTCTGATACATGGATCCTATCTCGGATTTCATGGCTTCTAACCATTTGTCGGAATTTGGGCCCACCATCGCTTCTCCATAGCTCGTAGGTTCATTGTTGTCTAGCAACATGACCTTCAAGACAGGATTACTGTACCACTCTGAAGTAGTACG